CGTGTTTCTTACTGCTTGCCCACCGAAGGGTCGCAGTCGAGACAGCTTGCTCTAACTGCGTCTGATCTACAGGGCCTGCCAGGGACGCAATTGCCCCGACAGTCCTTCGACCGAATCCCTCAACTCGAAGGCAAACCCGGCGCCCTGCGAGGAAGGGTCCACAAACGGACCCGCAACAGGCCCCATAGGAGGAAAGCCTCCAGGGGCACAGCCACGCTGCAGTCGGTAAAATCGGGTAAACCACCACCTGAAAAAACAGACTGTGAGGATGCCCTCCGATCAGCGAGGGGAGACTGAGAAAAAAAACATCGGTACCTCCACCATCGAGCCTCCTACTTGACGTCCCGGTACACGAAGCACTGGTAGCCGAGCGTGAAGACTTTCCACTCATGCCAAACACGCACTCACTTTAACCGATTTGTTTACTGGACTTGGGACCTTGCTGTGAAGAAACGAGCGACGCGATCAGTCTCAGCGATTTTGATGGCTCTGAAAGATAAATCTCAGGCCTCAGAACTCCAGTAAAAACACACGCCTTCACGGCAAAAACCCCGAACCCTACATGCAGCTACGACAAAAGTATTTCGGATGCGGGTTCTATGCTGGTAAATTCTGAATATAACCACTGCACAGTCAACTCGAAGCACAAGGAGTCCCAAAAAAAATGGCAGCAAGCCCTGGTGCTGTCATTACATCTATTCATTTCTAAATACATAGATCAAGCATAAAATGAAGACGACATGCATGCGGCGGCAACAACCCAAGCTAGAAACACAGACAGGAAAAAAAAGCAGGCGATCCAGGCAGAGCTCGCTAGACTTGATCTCCACTTTTCATGCGTAAAGGAAGCAGAGTGTTTGTACAGCCGTCTATGGCACCGCCATATGGGCTCGGTCACGTGGTTTGTGACATTAGGGAAAGAAAATCTTGGGGTCATGGGGCTCCCCTGACTTAGATTCTATCTCTTCGTCACCGGCAGAATCGCTGATTAATGCCTACAGTTCAAAATAGTCATTTTGACTGACCGGAGTCTATGGTGGGTAATTGAACGTAGGAGAATACTAGTATTTGTGTAATTTAAGTTAGACTTGGTCTTACTACAGCCAGCCAAAAATGGTATCACCCACCAGGTGCACAGCACATCCAGGACTTATTATTATAATTATTACATATATTGGCACTTTTCATTTTTTTTTTAATAGTTCAAAATCACAATCGCATTTGTGTGAATATTGGATACATACCTGTGAAATATATAGAATAAGTAGGAGGGAAGGGGAGGAAAGGGAGAGGGAAAGGAGTTATTGACAATTATCCCTACCTGACACATATTGGCACCACACAAATTTTACTCAACTTATTATGGGCAGTATGTATGGCTCCAATGTGTCAGGAATTGTAACTATCCTTCTAATGGTAGTTAGTTTCTATGTGTAAGAAAAATATAAATTGATTTTCTCAATACTCACTGTAGACGATTTTGACATCATTAGCAGCATATGAACCCATTTGAATCATCAACCTAATAATAGCTAATTCAAAGATAACAGTTTTACCAGATCCAGTAGGAGCACAGACGACTAGAGGTTTATCACTGTACAAAACCTAAAAACAACATATAGGAATATTAAATAATATCAGTATTTTTTAATTGCTCTATACTACTAGTATTTATCATCACACTTTTTTATGTTTTGCGTGCATAGTGACTGGTTGACAAGAACCGTTTGTTCACACTCGAAGATAAAATATTGACGAACATGATCACTGCTGATATTAATTATACTTGTATGTGTTTCTGATCTAAACAAAATTTACAGGCATATTTTATTCAAATTTCAGCAACTGCAAATATAACAATGTTATTGAAAGATATTTTTGGGATCTGATGGTGGAAAGACAACTGAAAATGATCAGTCTGTTTTGGAGTTGTAATTTACTTACATCATCCATTACTTTGGATTGCACAATATTGAAATATGGATATTCACTGAACACAGAGCGATATTTTTCAGCTACAGAATCACACCATTAAGGTCAATATTGAATATAGTGTTATAGAAATTATATAAAGTACAACTTAATACACATATATGCTTCATGTTCTCCATCATTTTGCCAAGAATCTCAGTAATCAAGGAAAAGATAATCTGCATGCTATGAAAACTGATTAAAATTAATTTGTTTAGACATGGTTTGCCTGCTTTGTAAACATATTCTGCAATAAGGCTAATTTGAGGTTCACTACATTGATGACATGAATCTGCCTTCAGACTTTTAGCGAACACTACTACATCAAAAAAACACAAAAAGTATCTTGAAAATTAATTTGATTTTTACGGCAACATTTTGCTGGCCTCTAGAAGTGATGGATTAATTATTCTCAGTTTACGTCCAGTTACTGGGTAACATTCCTTACTGTCTTCTACATCACATTTGTAGATCACAACAGTGTTTGGTTGAAGCACATATTAATGTATTAGCTTATTGAAAGTAAATATAATGTTTTTTTCTGTGTTTTTTTCTTGTGTTGGCAGTAAGATTATACCGTAACTAGAAAAGTCTACAAACTATTATGATATTGAAATGAAAAACCTAACAGTAGTACAGTAGTCGCCAGTATATTTTGTTGATTATCTATAAAATTGTTATTTTGTAAAATATGGAAAATTTTCAATGAAAAGCTGATAATTTTGTTGAAATTTATCCTGTGAAATTTTGTACCTAACTAAAATATAGAGCGTCTGTCAAAAATAACAGGTAGACAGGTGGCTGCATAGCTAAAAGCCTTAGCAGGTACTCGTAGCTTCATAGGAAAATTCTGAGCTCAATGAATCTCTAATTTGTTCCATACAACTAATTAAACAAGGATACGAATTTCTGTCACAGGTCGTAGTTTAGTGACTTCTCCTTTACTGCCACCTGGAGTTACAAAACCTAAGAAAATAGAAAAAAAATACTGGTTAGTTTCAATAATAATTGACATGCCCTAATATTGAATTGTACAGCTCCTATGACACAGTTAAATTGCAATGAATGAATTCATGAATTCACGAATTCACGAATTCATGAATGAATGAATGAATGAATGAATTCATGAATGAATGGATGGATGGATGGATGGATGGAGAATGAATGAATAAATGAATGAATGAATGAATGAATGAATGAAATGAATGATGGATGGATGGATGGATGGATGGATGGATGGATAAATGAATGAATGAATGAATGAATGAATGAATGAATGAATGAATGAATACTATGAATGAATGAATACTATGGGGGAAGTATATCACATGAGCTTATAAATAAATATATATATGAATAAATCATAAATGAACAAACACTCAGAAGAAGAGATTGAAATATATATGTAATGCTAACCTGGAATGGTTAGAGGATGGGGACTATCTGATATGCCAAGTGTACTGGAATGTTGATGTCTACTCCATGAGAAGTCAGGCTTTTTGACAGAGTGGTCACTTCCAGCATGAATGGCATCTTTTCTATTGCTGCTGTTGTTGGTAGGCTGAGTACTCAATGAACCTTGACTACTGCCTGAATATTGTGGAATGTTATTAGGTCTTAATGGTGGTTTGAATAATGATCTTTTCCTAAATCCTGCTGAACTATTTAGAGTTTCATGATGTACAGTTTTAGGAGTATCAGGAAATAGCTGTTTTCTGATGAAGAAAGATGAAGAGAAATAATAAAAATATTAATATTCAATAAACAATTAATTTATGTCATTGAAATGATGCACACAACGATCAGATCACAATATTCAAATAGAACTAAACACAAATAACACTAAGATCTTGTTGAGACTAGATATGAGACTTGTTTTTCCCCTCAAATACTTGTAGTATTTCTTTCCCTCTCGTCATTATCCAGGGTTCCAGATACCATGACTACATAAATCAGTCAACAAAATTGGAATACTATTTAAGGGGTAATTAGAAACAAGTCTTGTGGCTCATTCGCTATCAATGAGATTTTAGTAGCCTATTGGGTCTTATTATTTTAACTATTATTTATTAATACATGTAGATCAAATTATCAAAATTAACAACCATTCTCAGGACATAAAATAAGGAGTGCAATTTGCATGGCCTCCAATGCATTAAAGTTAAATTCATTGTGGCGACTACAGTAAACATACCCAGGTAGCAACACATAATGTATATTGTAGTAACCCTAACCTTCTATACTACAACTGTACTAATCCTACCTAGCTTGATTGGTATTCATCATTGTAAAAAAATGTTCAACAAATATTAACTCTGATGCTTGTGCTTTATGTAGGTATATCTATGTTTGTATTATTATTACCTCAGGGAATCAGTACTTGGTGAAAGAATACTATCATCAGGTTCATCATCAAACAGTGTTGGTGTGCTTGGTCTTTGGGAATTACTTTTGACTGAATAAAAATCTACATTAAGTAAAACAAAGTGACAAATCTGTCAGCAATTTAATTTATTTCAATACAACATTTTTCAAAGAATAGGTAAAGATTTCTAATGATATAAAATTTACAGATTTTTGTTGAAGTCCACGCCAACAGCAAAATACATTAGAAGTCCTACTTTAGAAGTTGTGATTTTATAGAAGTTATAAGCCTGATTTTCAAAGCATATAGTTGTTCATAACAAACCTTGTGAGTTGGAGAAAATAGAGTCTGATGAAAACAGTTTATCCACTTGGGTCGAAGTGATGCTTCTCTGTGATGGCAAGATTAGATCATCAACACATGGTGGTGGTCCCATTAAATCTGTTCTCTTGCTTGAAAACCTTTGGTAACATAAACAAAAAAATAATTTTACAGAAAAATATAACATTAACATAGAAAAAAAAATACATTTCTGCATTATGCCCATTAATTTTTTTAATATACTTCGAAAAATAGTATTAGTATAAACCCACTCTCCTACTGTACAATTTTATATAATTTAGTTTTACAGGGGCCTATACCTAATATGAATTCAGAATTAAGATTTGCACAGGAGTTCTCTCTTTGATAACTAATGAATTTGTTTAGCAAGCCAACTATCGGGGTAGTCATTGAACAGAACATATTGAGTTTATTATTCAGAGGACTGTTGTGGTCTGATCATTGATTATAATAGGAATGATTTTATAGAATATTGATCTGGTAAGATTGTTGAAATATTGAGACAATGTAATGAAATAAAATAAAATAAATGAAATAAAACTTATTGTCCTCATGCATACAAATGTATAGCTATGAAAGTTATCTATCACAATATATGCTGATGTGATGAAGTGAGTTGTATATACAATTATTGCCCTACTATTCATAATGAATGAATAAATAAACTCACTCAAAGATAGGTGTTTGTTGCTCTTCCTCATACAGATCAAAAAATATGTCATCATCCATTGTGAAGCAATATCAGAAATTGCTGGAAATCAAGAATCTGTTTAGCAAAGATAAAATATGCCTGATAATAGTCTGTACAAAAAAAAACAAAAAAAACACCAGTAGTGCTGAACCAAAATTACATTAATCTAGAAATAATGATTTATGATGACAATGTTTGAAATTATCACACATCTGGACTATGAAAAAGTCACCCTACCCTACTCTACCTTTACCTTTACAGTTGAAATGATCGGTTCATGGTTATTCATGCCTGGTGTGCTTTTTAAGCTACATGAAAACATCTAATTGTCTATAATTGTCAATTGTCTATAAAATGCAGAATTGGAACAGCAACCAGAATTGGATCACCAGGAAACTTCCCCTTTGTGTTTAAATCAACTTAGTGCCCATCTCCCCTGAAACACCCAAACATTGACTGGTTATTGGACATGATTTTACTTTTCTGTTTAAGCAAATTTTATCGTGAATGGTGCATGAATAGGTAAACTACTAGTACATTTTTTAAATATTTCTTTCACCCTCTATTTATTTACCTTTCAAAAATTGCTAATAACTTTTTATTTAATACCCCCCCCCCCATAACAATGCCATATGTAGATCATACTTGATATTGGTATTCACTTCTGCA